TAAGGAAACACCATATCGTTTTCCAAAGTGGTTGTACCACTTTGCATTCCCACCAGCAGTGCATAAGAGTTCCAATCTCCCCGCAGCCTCTCCAACATTTGTTATTTTCTGTTTTTTTTTTTTTTTATTTGTGCCTGTAATGCTGGGGTGACATGGTATCTCACTGTGGTTTTGATTTGCACTTCTCTAATGGGGGGTAGTGATCGTGAGTATTTCCTCATGTGTCTTTTAGCCGCTTGAATGTCTTTGGTGAAGTGTCTGTTCATTTCCTTTGCCCATTTTTTAATCGAATTTTTTGTCTTTTTGTTGTAAAGGTGTTGGATTTTCCTATAGATTTTAGAGATTAGAACTTTTTCGGATTTGTCATAGCCAAAAATTTCTTCCCAGTCTGTTTAAGTTCTCTTTTTACTCTTTTGGTGAAGTCTTTTGATGAGCATAGGTGTTTAATTTTTAGAAGATCCCAGTTATCTAGTTTATCTTCTGTAGTCTGTGTGTTGTTGGTTATGGTTTCTATCCTCTTAATGCTTTGTATGAGGGCCTCTAGTATTGGTCTTATTTTTTCTTCTATGATCTTTATATTTAGACCTTTGATCCATTTTGACTTAGTTTTTGTGTATGGTATGAGGTATAGGTCCTGTTTCATTTTTTTGCAGATGGATGTCCAGTTTTGCCAGTACCATTTGTTAAAAAGACTGCCTTTTCCCCATTTGATGGACTTTGGACCCTTGCTGAAGATCAGGTGACCGTAGGTGAATGGATTTACATCTGGATTTTCAATTCTGTCCCGTCGGTCAATGTATCTGTCATTGTACCAGTACCAGCTTGTTTTGACTACTGTAGCTATATAGTAGGTTCTGAGGTCAGGTAGTGCTAGTCCTCCTACTTTATTCTTCTTCTTCAATAGTGCTTTACTTATCCAGGGCTTCTTCCTTTTCCATACAGTTAATGATTAGTTTTTCCATCTCTTTAAAGAATGCTGTTGGTATTTGGATTGGGATTGCATTGTGTTTATAGATTGCTTTTGGTAGAATTGTCATTTTCTCAATGTTCAGTCTACCTATCCATGAGCATGATGTATTTTTCCATTTATGTAGGTATCTTTTGGTTTCTTGCAATAGTGTTTTGTAGTTTTCTTTGTATAGGTCCTTTACATCCCTGGTTAGATTTATTCCTAAGTATTTTATTTTTTTAGGGGCTATTATAAATGGTATTGTTTTCCTGATTTCCTTTTTGTAATTCTCTTTATTGGTGTATAGGAATCCAACTGATTTTTGTATGTTTATCTTGTATCCTGCTACTCTGCTGAATCTTGCTTTTAGTTCCAGTAGTTTTCTTCTGGAGTCTATTGGGTTTTCTATGTATAGTATAGTATCATCCACAAATAGAGACAGTTTTACTTCTTCATTACCAATTTATATGCCCTTTATTTCTTTTTCTTGCCTTATGGCTCTAGCTAGGACTTCTAGCACAATGTTAAACAGGAGTGGTGATAAAGGGCATCCTTGTCTTGCTCCTGTTCTCAAGGGGAATGTTTTCAGCCTCTCTCCATTAAGAATGATGCTGGCTGTTGGTTTTGCATAGATGCTCTTTATTATGTTGAGGAATTTCTTCTATACCTATTCTACTGAGAGTTTTTTTTTTTATCAGGAATGGGTGTTAGACTTTCTCAAATGCCTTTTCTGCATCAATTGAGATGATCATGTGATTCTTTTATTTATGTGGTGGATTATGTTGATTGATTTTCTAATGTTGAACCATTCTTGCACTGCTGATATGAATCCTACTTTGTTGTTGTGTATTATTTTTTTGATATGATGCTGAATTCTATTGGCTAGAATTTTGTTGAGAATTTTTGCAGCTATATTCATGAGAGATATTGGTCTGTAATTTTCTTTTTTTTTTTTGCAGCATCTTTGCCTGGTTTTGGTATCAGGGTTATGCTGGCTTCATAGAATGAATTTGGAAGTATTGCTTCCTTTTCTATGTTCTGAAATTGTTTAAGTAGTACTGGTGTAAGCTCTTCTCTGAATGTTTCGTAGAATTCTCCAGTGAAGGCATCTGGACCAGGACTTTTTTTTGTTGAGAGTTTTTAAATTACATTTTCCATCTCTTCTCTTGTTATGAATCTGCTCAGATTTTCAACATCATTTTGCAAGAGTTTTGGGTAGGTAGTGTGTTTCTAGAAATTTGTCCATTTCCTCTAGGTTTTCAAATTTATTGGAGTATGGTTATGATCTTTTTTATTTCAGTTTGGTCTAATGTAATGTCCTCCATTTCATTCCTTATTTGGGTTATTTGTGTCCTCTCCTTTCTGTTTTGTCAGTTTGGCCAGTGGTTTGTTGATTTCGTTGATATTTTCAAAGAACAAACTTTTGGTTTTCTTGACTCTATTGTTTTTCTATTCTCTATTTCATTTATTTCTGCTCTGATCTTTATTATTTCCTTTTTCTGATGGCTGTGGGCTTCTTTTGCTGTTCTCTTTCTATTTGTTTGAATTGTGTAGCTAATGTTTTGATTTTGTCCCTTT